TGACAGAAAGTTATTACTGCTTCAAACAAATGCAAGCTATTTAGACTTGCTAAAACAAAGGAAAAATGAACTATGCAAATAATGAGTGACCTTGTCGTTTTTCCTTAGCTGCTCACAATTCATAATAATGCTACATCCTACCCAATTAATGGGGAAAAAAAACCATTTATCTTTCTATGAGTGGATGGCTTGACAAAGTGGTTCTGTGGATAAACAAAACTCAGGAGTAAACAAGTCTTAAATATATTAATATTCGTTGGGCTTTTTCTACTATACATATAGCATTGGTCAAGGCTCTTCATGCTCTTTAGTTTAAATTGTATGAGTAGAAAGCCTGGGTATTGAATAATAAAAATTGTTGGAGATTTAGAAAAGATGTTAATGTCAAAAACCCAAAACAATATTACTAAGCTCAAAAAACTAGACAAAAAGGAGTTCGTTTCATAGTTTAAATAATATGAAAGATTGTACAGATGGCAATGGGTATTTGTTCTATTTCTAATAATTGACTGAGAAGGGGTTGAGATTAAATACAGTCAAGCTCTTCCTAACAATTGTTAGATAGAGCTGCTAAGGTGAGTTGTGACATCGCTTTGGAGATCCTAGGAAAAATATATTTCTAACTATCCAAAATGGATTTACTTTGTTCTGTTGGAAATATGGTTTGATTTTTAACTTAGGTCAGTTCCGCCTAATGATTAATTAATATTCTTATTTTCAGATTAGAATCTATTTTTCTCTCTTTGGTGAATTTAGGTATACTTCTAGAATTTAGCATATTAAACTGGTTTATTGATTTACTGATTTATTGATTTCTTATTTACCACAATTTAATCAGATATTTTTCTAATACCAATAATATTCAGTGATCTTGTAGAAAATTATAAATATGATCCTTGACCCTATGGTGCTTGTTTTGAGGTTGGAAACAAGTTGGTGACAAGTTATAGATGACTTGTATTTCAGGGTTTAGCTGTATTCTACATTGTAGGAAGCAGAAGATATTTGAAGTTTTTTTTTTTTCTTACCCTCATTTTATAAGTAGTTGACATGATTGGAACTCTGCAGAGTGAAGTGGTCATGGGGCCACCATTATGGAAAATGTGGAGATGGAGGAGAGGGGGAGGAATCTGGAGAGTTTGACAGTAGGGAGGCTGTCAGAAAACTCTTGTGATAGGTAGTAGGCAAGGCCAAGGTGACAGATGACCAGGTTATGGACTAGCATGGGAGAGGAATGGAAGGATCGACAAAATTTATTAATTTCTCTAGATGTGGTACCCAAGAAGGAGGCAGAATTCACAGGGACTATAGGATTTCTCTTCTCCATCATCTAAAAATAAAGGTAGTAGAGTAAAAGCAATTTAAAAAAGATAGGTACTTCTGAGAAGTTGTATTTGAACATCTGGAGATTACATGATCTCAGAATATAGTAGGCAACTGGAACAAAGGAATAAGAAAAATTTTATCTGGTTATGACATTAGATTTGATTATTTCCTTTACTTTTATATTACTACAGGACTGGGAGCATTTAAATTGCTTTTGTTGGGTACATTTAGAGCAAATGTCCACAGATTTCAGTGTTTCTATTTTAAGGCTGCTTTACGTTAGGACTGGTGAGGTATTTAGCTATATGTTCTACTTGTTTTCTTGTTTTGTTTTAATGCTTGCCTTTCTTGACTAAAATAAAATATAGGATAAATTATGTTTATACTTTTTCTCATTATCAGGATTCAAATTTTAATTAATTTGCTGATTTTAATAGGAAATAGATGTTTTGCACTACCAACAAAGTCTTTCAAATTTAACTCTTATTTTAGGATTAGATCTATACCTTTACGCAGATAACTCACAGATAAACTTTAAAAACTGGAAGGGACCTTAGGGAAAGCCTTTGAGATCATCTAATACAGTGCCCACATTTCTCAGATTATCTGAGGTCAAGAGAATAGTAATAATAGCTAACATTTACTGGGCTATAATCTCACATAATCATTATAACAACCCTATGAATAAGTCCCTTAGAAAGTGGTGGCATTGCTGCGTTAGGAACTGTTTTCTTTTAAATCTCTTTCACAGTTTAGTTCTGTATATTAGAGAAGAACAATTAGAATTTCTGTTATTAAATTAAGTGATTTTTAAAGTATTTAAATTAATAAAAAGAAATACTAATTAAAAGACAGTTCACACCTGTTATTTAATACACAGTCACCTGCCACTTAACGACAAGGATGTATTCTGAGAAATGCATTGTTAGGTGATTTTGTTGTTGGGCTAACATCATAGACTTCACTTACACAAACCTATATGGTATAGCCCACTACACACCTAGGCTGTGTGGTATAGCCTATTGCTCCTAGGCTACAAGCCTGAATAGCATGTTAATGTACAAAACAACATGAGATTAAATCAAGCACAAGAGAAAGTGATAAGATCAAGAGATGTTATAAATACAAGATGTGTAAGGCTGCTGCTGACGTAACATGGCATGCTGCTCTACAGCCAACTTTTTTTTATAAACAGAGTACACTGTAAAATAACAATAAAAAGTATAATATAGTAAATATGTAAACCAGTAACAGTCATTAATTATCATTATCAAGTGTTATGAACTGCACATAATTATATGTGCTATGCTTTTATAAGACTGGCGGTGTAATGGGTTTGTTTACATCAGCATCACCACCAACACGTGAGTAATGTTGGGCTATGTATGACATTAACCCCCGCTGTGAGATCACTAGGCAATAGGAACTTTTCAGCTTCATTATAATCTTATGGGACCACTGTTGTATATGCAGTCATTGTTGACTGAAATGTCATTATGTGGTGCATGACTGTATTAAAACAATATCATTTAATGTATTTATTGTTAATTTTAAAGACTTTTTTCTAATTCCCAGGTACACGCACACACATTACTTTTATATTTTAATTTTTTGCCGATACAGTATTTAAAAATATATTTAATAAAATTCTACTTGTTTTCTCCTTTATCCTAAAATACAATTCCTTTAATTTTCATTGAATTTTGAAACTACTTTGTCAATACAATATATATGTAATATGAGGTATGTATATGTATACATATATAATATAGTTATGTTGATATGTTTTATATAAGGTAAATTTTGATCTGTTTTGTTACTCTGGGAATTTTATTTCTTTAATGTTAACATTTCATTAATTTTTCTTACCTTCAAATATCTGGGCAGCTGAGAGGAGTTTTTTTGGTTTTTGTATTAGTACAAAGATGAAAACAAAATCACTATTTACTATATATATGATAAAGAATGTTTCATTTGTAAAGTTTGAAAATTTTCTTACTCTTTGTGTCTGTTAGATTTTATATATGCTTGCTCAAATAGACATTTTTCTTACTAATTTCAAGAACTATGTCAATTACTTGATAGCTATATTTTAAGAATGAAATAAATTTCAAATTATGTAAAATTTTAGTTTCTTCTAATTCCACAATTTAAAACAAACAATAGATTTTGCCGGTGTTAATATGTGGCATTCATTCAATCAGCATATATTTCATGAAGGTTTATGGTGTGTCAGGCACATTTCTAGCTTAGGATGTAGTGGGGAGGAAACACAGACATGGGCTCTGCCTCAGTGGATCTAGCAGTCAGTATTTTCTTGATTTTAGATCCAAATGCTTGTATACTTGGATTCTCTGCCTTGGTCATTATTTTTAAGGAAAGTATTTGACAACTGATGGTAATCAAAACCTAACTGAACATATACTATCCATTGTATTTATTGCTTTGCTTCCAAATTATGAGTTCAAGAACTTGGTTCTTGTTCAGTTGGCTGAGAGCTATGTTTTTTTAAATCACAAAGTAATTTTAATAAATTGTTCTCCAAAATATTATGTTTTTTTAAAAGTTGTGGTAAAATATATATATCATAAAAATTAATCATTTTAACTGTTTTAGGTGTACAGTTCAATTGCATTAAGTACATTTATAATGTTGTGCAATTATCACCACTATTCATTTCCAGAATTTTTTATTATCCCAAATAGAAACTCTATACAAAATCTTTAGTTTTAAGTATTAGAGGAATATTGGTTACTTTCTGTCTTTTTTGGGCCTAGTCTTACCTATACGTCCAGCAACACAGTATTCAGTTTGGTCTACTTGTACTTTTGAATTCAGAACTTATCATTTGAATTAGAATGTTGTTGTTGTTGATTTTTTTGATTTATGCTTGTTCCATGTTTCTAGGTATCTATTAAAATTGCATCATCTTTCATTTTACTGTAATTTTATATCTGTTTGCTTCTTTTGGAGCAGTAAAATAGACATGAAATTTGAAGGAGATCAAACAGTAATGTAAATAGAAAATTTTGCAAAAAAAAGGAAGAATGATTGGGGATCAAAAACTGTGGTACACAAAAAAGTCTCACGGTCTCGGACACACTAGTTTCCTTGGCTGCCTGTTAAATGCCTGGAACAGGAAACATACCCAGTATAAAAGATATTTGGGCCTGTGATCTAAGAGAATTCAGCCCCCCAAACACTGGATATAAATTGGACTCAACAGGAAAAATAGTTCAGTAGATCCTCCATCTGTATTACTTTTTGTGCTCAAACAAAAATACAACTGTTTAAGAGTTTTAAAAATTACTTCTAAAAGAGTATTAAATACCCTATTCAGATTATATGCTTTTTCTTCTGCTGCATATTTCCTTGGCTACTTCTCTTCCTCATTCGTAACAATCACACACTATTGTTATACAATAAAGAAATGGACAACTTATCAGGGAACTTTTCTTAGAAAATTATTTTAGTTTTATAGAACAAATAAGAATCTGAGAAAATAAACATAAATGTCATCTGATTTTAACTTTGCCTGTTAAACAAAATAATTTTTATTACTTTGTCTAATGTTAATCCACTTTTCCTTTCATATAAGCAAAAGTAAAAATTTCATCTGTTTTATTCTTTACTTTTTAAAAAGCGACACTCCTAATTAAATCTATTTATTACAGTTAAAAGATGGCGGCAAAGCCTCCCAGGCGAATGTGAGAATAGGTGATGTGGTTCTCAGCATCGATGGAATAAGCGCCCATGGAATGACTCATCTTGAAGCCCAGAACAAGATTAAGGGTTGTACAGGCTCTTTGAATATGACTCTGCAAAGGTAAATTGCTTTTTGTTTGGCTCTGAGAGCGAAAACAACACTGAGGAATGCGTTTTCATGTGTCTGATTCTTGGTGTTAACTAAAAAGCTTTTTCTACTACTTTTGTTTCTAATAGAGAAATAAAAAATATAATGGCTTGTAAATTGGCTAATCGAGCAGTAAAATAATTGGTGGAAGCTTTGGATTATTTCTCCATAAAAAGGCATGTATTTACATACTAATAAAAATTCTGTCTACAGCTTCAGCAAGTTTAAGAATAAATGAAATTTCTTGATGGATTGTGCAGGCTAAGAATTCTTATAACAGGGTAAAACTCTTAGACTTACTATTGTTGGCAATATATTAGGGGGTATTCTTTTAAGGTACGATTTGACTTTTCTTAGTATGTCGTCTTTTCTCTTTTTTTTCCTGGGTAGAAAACTAATTTTTTAATATACTCATATGAAGTCCAGATTTTCCAAACTGACTGTTTTTAATGTTACTCAGCTTTAATTTATAAAATGGCTAATCATCACTTTGATAACATGTCAGGTGTTTTGAACATCCCAGTGTTTGATGTACATTGAAATCACCTGGATTGCCTTGCTAAATATACTGATAGGAATCAGAATATCTGGAAGTAAGAACCAAGAATTATGTATTAATAAATTCTCTGAGATTATTGTGAATTATAAAGTTAGAACCATTGCAATATCTGAGGGTGTAGGAAGGAGAAAAAAGGAATGAAGAGAGGGTGATTGAGTGATATCTCTGAATCTTTAGGTTTATAAGAAAAGTGGCTATCATTTACCAGGTGGTTATGGAGGGTTTTCAACAAGTCTTGTTTTTAATGATTACAAAAGTGTTCTTTATTGTATAAAATTTGGAAAACACCATTTGCCTACCCACCCCTGCCAAATCTCATAGTCTTCCATAAATTTTCATTTATATTGTACATTTTTAAGAGGGGAATGACATGTGGTGCCTCCAGACATATTTGGCTGTGGAAATTTTTTAATCTTGGAGTCTCTCCTGGGACTATTTAAAGGATATATACAGGGTAAATTATATGTACTTGTCTGGAGGAGTATCGATTTGGTCTTAAAACTGAATAGTAAAATTTTTATGAATTTAGACTTACAGATTTACTTTGCTGTATCATGACTTTCAAATTAGTGTCCTTTTTTTGACCCCCTTGGGAGAAATTCCTTTTAGTGGGATTGTTGAGTCAAAGGTTATGTGTATTTTAATTTTGATAACTATTAGCTATACATTTTAATGCATATAAAAGTAATCAATGAGAAAAATAACCTTGCTAAAAAGCTCTATTTCAGTAGTATTCTTTCTGTCCATATATAAAAGTGTGTACTTTTATTTATTACTCATTTTTATTTATGGACATTTTTACTAAGTATCACTTTTGAAAAGGAACCAGAAAGTCAAAAAGCTTAACTTGTGTTAGATATCAACAAAACAAAACAAATCCAGATGATGATTGGCTGTTTCTCAAATTCTGAAGTTGAAATTCAAATTAGTGTCCTTTTTTTGACCCCCTTGGGAGAAATTCCTTTTAGTGGGATTGTTGAGTCAAAGGTTATGTGTATTTTAATTTTGATAACTATTAGCTATACATTTTAATGCATATAAAAGTAATCAATGAGAAAAATAACCTTGCTAAAAAGCTCTATTTCAGTAGTATTCTTTCTGTCCATATATAAAAGTGTGTACTTTTATTTATTACTCATTTTTATTTATGGACATTTTTACTAAGTATCACTTTTGAAAAGGAACCAGAAAGTCAAAAAGCTTAACTTGTGTTAGATATCAACAAAACAAAACAAATCCCCAGATGATGTGGCTGTTTCTCAAATTCTGAAGTTGAAAGTTTATATAGGGTGTAGGCTCTTTCCCGTGGCTGTGTATGGTTTCTTTCATACTAGCCCACTTGTTTTCACATTGTGCTTTCTGTTTTATGACCCAGGACCCAGTATCGTATCTTCTATTGAAAACACTTCTGGGTCCCCTAAGAATAGTTGGAAACCAGAGGTTACCCTGTTTGGATGCATTTCCAATTTAAGTAATCTACTACTACCTATAAGAAAGATTCTTTTAAGCTACTTAAATACAAAATCTAACAAACCAACTTTGTTTTCACATTGTGCTTTCTGTTTTATGACCCAGGACCCAGTATCGTATCTTCTATTGAAAACACTTCTGGGTCCCCTAAGAATAGTTGGAAACCAGAGGTTACCCTGTTTGGATGCATTTCCAATTTAAGTAATCTACTACTACCTATAAGAAAGATTCTTTTAAGCTACTTAAATACAAAATCTAACAAACCAACTTGTTGTAAAGATTTGGAGATACTATTTGACATTGTCTTCATATTTCTGAATATTGATATTCATGGTCTCAAAATACAAGAAAGAACTTTAGGATCCTGTTGTTATTCATTGTAACTCTTCCCAACTTTTTGAATACTTCTTGCGTTAGGTAATATCAGCCTGAAAAGAGATTTGCATTTAAGAAAATTCAAGGTAAAATGTTAACAAAGCTACTGAAGAAATACTTTTTGCCTTTTAAGGAAAAAATAAAACTTTGCAGAGTTATCTTCAATTCTTCCCTATATTAAGACCATTCTCTTCTTAAATTCTCTCTCCTATCAAAGCAAATATTTTTCTTTCCCTTATTTCTGAATTGAACAGCAGCATCCTTAACTGGCCTCCAGTCACTTTACCTTCTTTTTCCCTCCACAACCAAATGCTCTGCATTCTCCTTCCAATCTGACTTACCTATAACAGTACTTTCTTTATGTAACTCTTTTCCTCATAAACATGTAGTTTTCTTCATGAATATGTAGTACTTTACAGACTTGTCTTGGTCCAGTTTCTTTAGAAGCAGAACCTGAAATGGGATTCATGTGTAAGTGATACGTTAAGGGAGTTCTTTCAGATGTTACTTAAAGGGAATGAGTGAAGCAGTATTGGGAAGAAGAAAGAGATGAGCTGGGATGTGGTTTCAGGGGATATCTAGCCTCAGCTAAATCCTGTAGGGAGCTTAGGGAGTGTGTGTGTGTGGCGGGTGGGGGCGGGGGTATAGGAAGGGCTAGGAGGTAGCTTCTGTTGCTTCCACAGGAAGTTGCTGGTGTGAACTATTAGCAGTCATCAAGGGAGCACCTCAGGGATAGGTGTACCAAACTGGTAGAAGGGTTTCAGAGAACCTGGGCTGGGCACCAACAGTATGCGCTATGAGGTTCCATCCAGACTTGAGTCTTCTGCTTAGAGGATTAGGTCCTCTGTGGCCTAGGCCAACTCAAATTGTCTCCCTCGATCATCACTGCTCAAAAGTGAATGTCACTTTTCATTTAAAATGTATGTCTTACTGGCCCTTGCATGCCTTTATGTTCTTTCATGAAATGCACTTCATCTGGCATGCCTACACACCACTTCACTGCCGATACATGCCTCCACATCCACAAACCCCGTATCGAACTCATCATCTACCCATATTCTTTCCTTATGATTGCACCTCATTCTTTTTAATTTTTTACTCTGAATTCCTATGACAAGTTTATACCGGTCTTTCATGAGTTATATCCGTATAAACCTAATTAGTTAATGGTCATACCTAATACTGCCTATGTAATTAACTAATTGCTCTATGTATATAGTTCTATTTCTCCAACCAGACTCCTTGAAAGCAGAGACCGTGTTTTTTGCACTACTTATATTTGACAGCTTTTATAGTTTTGCATTTTTTAGTGTCTAATAAATATTTACTAGGTACCAGCATTATTTCCCAAACTTGAAATCATTTATCCCAGAAATATTTTGGGGGTTCTTGCTATGTGTCAGGCATTGTTTTAGATTCTGAGGACATAAAAGTGAGTAAAACATAAAAATCCTTGCCCTCATAGTGCTGACATTTTAGTGAGCAGAGAGACAGACAAGGAGTAAGTAAAAACCTATAGTATATCACGTGGCAATACATACTATGGGCAAACATAAAGCATGTAAGGAGATAGAGGATACAGGGGTAGGGAATTGCAATTGAAAATAGAGGTCAGGGAAGCCTCAGTGAGAAGGTTATTGAGTATCTGGGTCATGAGTGTCCCAGGTAGAGAGAAGAGCCAGTGCAGTGGCCCTGTCAGGGAGGCCAGTGTGCCTGGAGCAGAGTGAGTGAGGGCAGACTGGTAAGAAGTGTTGTCAGAGAGGTAGTAGGAAATGGATAGAATTGGGACAGAATTTATAGGGCCTTGTGAGTCATGTAATGTTTATAATCAAATTTCAGTTTTCCTGGGCCTATAAAAAATTGTGAGAAAGACTTAGAGAGGTATAGCTGCTTGGCCAGATCTATAGCAGACTTTGAGAGATAAATGACTTCATTTTTGGAAAAAAAGGGCTTGGAGAAGGAACAGAGACCAAGCCTCTCCCCAGTCTTGATAGTGACGGCTCTGTCTTTTCCTGTAGAAACACTGGATTTTACCACTTGTGCTGTGTTTCTGCTTCCCTATATCCAGTATTCCTCAGGAGGAGAATATAAGAAAGAAAACCTATTTTTTTTTTTTGAAATCAAGGTTATCAGCAAATTTTTTTGTGAATTTTTTTAGGTTCAACCTCAGTATCCTAAAATAGGATTTAGATAAGAAAAAGTAAGAAAAAAAGATACTTGATTAAGGTTACTTTGTAATTGTTTTTTTTTCTGTGTAGTCTAACATGGGGGTATTATCTCTCTGGTATCCTAAAATAATAAAACTTTATTCACTATACTCTGGATATCTAATGAATACAGAGGTATGGAACTTTTTATTTTGATTTGTCTTTTACCCTTGAAAAGGATTTGAAATTTTTTTCCTGCAACTGGAACTGAATCTAAGAGTACTACAATTGGACAATGAAAGATTCTATCTGAAATTATTTTTCCTCTTGAGGAAATTAGGAAAGTAGCACTGTGCTTATTTTTAAATATCGAAAGCATTTTGCTTATGCTTTTCATCCAAGTCAAATGGGTCATTTAAAAA